CGGACTACAGAGACATCAGTAGTTCTACCTACAGGAAGAGAGGGGGGGGCGAGAGGGAGCATGCATGTGGTACGCAGCAGGAGATGGACGTGACTGAGAGCTCAACACACATCACTATTGGGTGTATAAATATAAATAGACGACCCCGTGATCCCCCGTATTCACCCACAATGTACACACGGCCACGCTAGCTGTGTAGGTGTATGCTAAGCCGTGCACATTGCCTGATGCAGATCTATTTCCTCCGATACCCCCCCCCCCACCCCACACACACACCCTCAGCCCCTATCTCTATTTTCAATTGCAGAACACACCGTTGTACCACACACCTCACACCCACTGAAGCTCTCTACACAGGACAATGCCGCATATACACAATAGATAAGCAACAAGCAATTGATACTTAAACCATGGGCATATACAAATGCACGTGCATGTACGCAAGTGTACATAAAAAGGGACACCACGCGTAACTATCCTGCGCAGAAGTACCAAGAACGCCCATCTAGCTAACAAGCACACACGCCCAACCCACACCCACACCCACACCTCATACCCACCTCTCGTCTCTCCGGATCAATTGTCGCTCGCTGTGTGAAATTGGCGCTGGGCCCTCCGATTTTACTGCGCATTGGATGATAACAAGTGATAGCAAGTGATGTGTCAATACGACGGATGACGCACACAGCCACTCCCTGGTTAAGGTGATATGTCTTTTGTGTTTGTGATGTATGTGATATTTCTTTTGTGTTTGTGATGTATGTGATATTTCTTTTGTGTTTGTGATGTATGTAATATGTCTTTTGTATTGGTGTGTATTTAAATTGGTATGAAAGCACTTTATGTCCTTCAGACAATCTTCCGGTCTTAGAGTTTCAGTTTTAGTTCCAGTCTTCTTAGTTAAGGTGATATGTCTTCTGTATAAACCCTAAACCCTAAAAGCACTCTATCTACTACAGGCAATTTTTTGCAACGAGCACCCCATAACTTAAACAATGACAGGGCCCCTAAACTCTCCGCTACGCATAACGGTCGAGGTGTGCACCTGACCGGCGACTATGGGACTCGCTGAGAGGCTCTCACAGGCATTGCTACCTACACGACCATGGACTTGTTCTATTTTTAGAACACATCCGTGTCAGTCTCTGTACTCGCCCGTTGGCTTGATATAGACGTAAGACTATGCTGATGGAGTCCATGTCTACCATAAAACGGGACATGCCTGGCCTACAACGGTAGCTGAAGGTGCATGTGGCATGCGCAGTCAATCGCTCGAAAACAACAAGGCAATACACCATAGCCTTGTCTATCAAGTTGGCTATGAATACACGTACTATGGCAGAACGAACGACTACCAAACCCAAGGGCAACAGACGCACAGCCCATCCACTCACCTCCACATACTACCACCCACCCTTTCAACACCCATGCGATCGTCTGCACGCACACACCGGTGTACTGAACACTCAACCCTTAAAACCCAAAAACTCTACAGACCCTAGAACCCTACCTAAACCCTACACCCTCAACTTCTCAAACCCCCTAAACCCTAACCCACACACCTGCTATCTCGCACCACATCCACAATACGCCTGCTATCCAAATCGTAGACGTAGAAGTCGCTGAGATTGGTCTTGCCGCGTTTGCCGTGGAAGATGAACACCTGCCGTTGCGCCGAGTCAAACACCATGCTATGGCCCATGCGTGGTTTGATGCTGATGGTGTCTGTGCCTGTGCCTGTGCTTGTGTTTGTGCTTGTGCCTGTGCTTGTGCCGTGGCTGTAAGCTGGCTGGCTACCGGTGCTCTGGGTGTTTGGGTTGGTCTCTGATGTCTCGGCTACAGCGTCTGAGTGGGTGCGAGTGTGTTGCATGCAGCGGTTTCATATTAATATGCGAGTGAGTGATTGTGTGTGTGTGCGCCATCTACACTGCTGCTAATTGGCGGTGCGCAAGCACATACATGAAGCCTAACGATATAACAACACAATTGAAAGAGACATAGCAATACACTCAAGCACACATCATATGAACTGAAGACTCACGACGACACTGAATCGACATCCTTCAGCCTAAACGCACTATGTCCTCGGCCGCAGCGTAGACGTCAACTGTTCTCACATGCTCATACAAATAACCACATACACACACACACACATATATATATATATATATATATATATATATATATATATATATATATATATACATATATACTCACACATACATACACACTTATACATAAATGCATACAATATATATATATATACATATATCTATACACACACATACATACATACATATATACCCACACCTATCCGCTACTCTATACCACATACACGCAATCAACTACACATACCTATATCCACATGTACACACACACACACCTCCCTATCCTTGCCTCTCTCCCACATACCCATGCAACCCACCACACCCAACACAGCACACTCCCCTGCAATACCCCACACACAACACCCTTACTCTGACCAAACGACACAAAGTCTGCACCTCCATCGTCGTCCATGTGTGTGGCAGATGAAGCAGCCGTATCCACAGGTGACGCTGTGCCTGAGAGGTCTAGGCTCTCCCACGTGTTGGAGTGCACGTGGTACAAGAACATGTCAGAGTATTCGCAGTCGTGTGAGGCACCTGCGGTGAGTAGCTGTCCACCGTAACAAATCACCTGTGCATGTAGGTATGCACGATATGGCGGTGTGAGTGGTGTGGTTGTCGTTGTAGGCGTGTGCGTGAGCGTATGGTATGGGTGTGTGTGTGTGTGCGTGTGAGCAATCGTCTGTATATATCCACGGGGGGTGTGTGTGGTTTGGCTATTGTTGTAGGCGTGTGCGTGAGCGTATGAGATGGGTGTGTGTGTGAGTGTGTGAGCAATCGTCT